AAGGAGACCATAACACAGAGAACTGCAGCGGCCTCCAGGCAGTGGCTCTCTGACACAAGGCTGGGGTTTGCCCCTGCAGCCCCCTCCCCAGCACCTCGCAGCATGGACTGACAGAGGAGGCCTCCTGGACCCCAAGGAGTCCCACTCAACCCCAAGGCAAGGCCCCAGGTCCCCCCGAGGACAGGTCAAAAACAACTCTACTGACCTCTTACTTCCCACGGTTCTTTTGTATCTTTGGGGGCACCTGCGGGGAGCCAGGCATTTACTGTTCTGGGCAAGAGTTCCTGCTCTGGAGAGGCTGACGTGCCAGGAGGGTGACGCAGTGAGGCTGCCACGGAGGCCTGAGGGAGCTGACTGCCGGGAAAGGAAACCGGGCCTGCGTGGGGTCCACAAGTTCTATGTGGGGTCCACAGGCCCTGCGAGGGGTCCACAGGCCCTGGTTGGGGTCCACGAGCCCTGTGTGGGGTTTACAGACCCTGGGTGGGGTTCACGGGCCCTGTGGGGTCTTCCCCTCCCCAGCCAGGCTGCCTCCTTCTGCTCCCTCATGTGCTCTCCGACTCCAGGGCCTTTGCATGCTGCCCTCTCTCCGGGAAGCTCCTCCCCACACATCTGGCAAACACCTACTCCCCCTCCAGATCTCAGAGGAAATACCACTTCGTGGGAGGACCCACGTTGGTCCCCCCACAGGGCGTCCCTTGCTTTGCTGCATGGCACCCTATGTTCCTCTCACTCAGGGATCAAGCCGTATTGTCACTGCCGGTGCGGTGGGCGTGGCTCATGCCCCACCGGGACCCCAGCTGCTGTGTCAGTTGTTCAAGGTTCCCAGCTGCCCCTTCTCTGAGCACCATTCTGGGCCAATAGGAGCCAGCTGGGCCTGGACTGGCTGAAAGGCAGCACCTCAGGCTTGGCAGGAACTGACTGCTGAGGGCACAAAAGCCCAGCCCCGCCCTCGGGTTGGGCAGCTCCTGGCCCTTCAGGCCCCTGGGCCCAGGCCAGCCCGCAGGACCCACCTGCCTTTCAGCTCCTCTCCTGCTTCCCTCCCCGCCCCCCGTGGAGCCCTCCCCAAGGGATCACATGCGAACAAATCCCCGTTGCCCGCTCCACCTCCAGGGACCGGCCGTCCCCTGAGCCCCTAGAGTGACGTCAGGAGCTGGGCTGACCCGCTTCCTACCAGGGTTCCAGTGCCGAGCACACGGCAGCAATTCAAACACTTCTCGAGGGAGTGAATGGACCTCTTATTTCTCACGTAGGGAAACTGAGGCCCAGAGAAGGCCAGTGACATACACTTAAGAGGCAGAAGGTCTTCAAGATCCGGTCTGGCCTCGGGTAAGGACAGCCCTCTTCTGCGCTTTCTTGGCAGCACTGAGAAGGAAGGAAAGCAGGGGCCCAGAGCCCTCAGTGGGCCCGCGTTCCAGGGGCACCAAGCGCGCCGCCCTTCCTGTTTCCCCAGGCTCAGCTGAGGCAGAAGATCGCTCTCTGTGTGGGACGCCCACAGGACCGGCCCCGTTCGTCCATCCGCCCACTAGACAAAAGCCCTCAGAGCACTACTGCACCCTGCTCTGGGCAGCGGGCACCCAGCAGTGAACGAAGGACACTGCAACCCCTGCCCTCACGGGCTCTCCGCGGGGCAGGGAGGGGCGGGGAGGCAGAGGGAGCAGCCCATGCAAAGGTCCCGGGTGGGGAGGAAAATGCCGTGTTTTCAAGGAACTAGAGGGAGGCAGGGTGCCTGGAGCAGAGGCGCAGGAGAGGGAGGGAGAGGATGAGCTGGACAAGGCAGGGCTGGATGGACAGCATCTCAGAGGCTGGAGAAAGGTGGGGATTTTATCTTCATAAGGTGTGGAAGGAAGCCAGGCAGGGTGTCAGACAGGGGGGTTAAAAACCCGGTTCTGGTTTTAAGACCACTTTGGTCCTGGGTGGAGGGTGGGCAGCGGAGGGGTGGGGAGTGGCCTCTGAGGCCCCACTGCTCTGGTTCCTGGCCTCTCGGTGCGAAGGAGAAGCCCACCGTGACTTCCTCCCAAGTCATGGGGCCCCCAGCCCAGAAGACGGATTTGGGGAGGATACACTGAGGTAGACCCTCAGGCTGGGACGATGGTGGCATCTTGGTCAAATGGCTCAACTTGAAGGCCGCAGCAGGGCTAGGGGCCTGAGGCGCAGCTCTGACCCCAGCTCGGATAACTCCCCCCGGTGCCCTTACTGACCCTGGACTGACTTCCTTCCGAACAGCAGACCTCAAACGCAAGCGAGCATGTGCTCAGTGAACACTGGTCCCCAATGCCCTACCCCACCCGTTCTACTGTTTTAAAGCAGATTCTGCGTTGGACTCATCTCCTCCCTGGGGAGGCAGGAAAGAACAGGGCAAGCCAGTGGGCACAGCCACACACAGACGGGGCCCCGCTGTCCCGCACCCGGTGGACTTGTGGAGCACGCGGTCGAAGCACTCGCTGGGGGAAGGTTCTCTCTCCCTCTCTGCGAGCCAGATCCTGAGCACCCCCTTCCTGCCGCTGGGGAGACTGAGGTCAGATCACCGAGCAAGTGCGTGGCCTGGGGTCTGATCCAGGGTCGCAACCAGGGCGGGGCCCCCAGAGACTCCTGGGCTCTGGTGCTGTGAAGTTTGAGCAGTAAATCATCACCAAGCTCCAACGGGGCAGGTCCTGCCCTGGGGGCTGGGCAGCCGCCGCTGGCTGGGATTCTGGTACTGGGGTCCCAGGGAAAGCTCCAGGGCCAGGGAAGGCGAGCCCCAGCCCACACCACAATCAAGCCAAGCCCTCCAGGTCCAACCCAAGGGAACATCCACCTAGAAGCCGCAGCAACCACCCCCACCCCCCACAGCCTCCTGCAACGTCCTCACCAAAAGCTGTCACTGCCCGGGCTTCTCACCTGTCGTCTGGAATCGTCACCCGGGTCCCCCAGAACGAGGGACCCCGATCCCTCGCTGATGCAGAGGAGTTCTCCACTCCGGGAAAGTTGGGGCAGAGGACAGAATCCTCTCTCCTTGGGACAGATGACCATCTCCCTTCCCCAGGATGCCCGTCCATGCTGTTCTCCCTGACAGCAGCCCTTGTCGGCCCCTGTCCCCCCACCACCCCCAGCCTCAATTCCTCCAAGCTGCCACCCACACCCCTGGCTTCCCCTCCAGTCACGGCAGTGAGGACCAGGGCTGCCTCTTGCCGGGGCCTCCCCCACTACCATGGGTCCCGGGAGAGAGCGCTGGTCTCCTGCACCCAGCGCACGCCTGCCCTGCACGTGGGGGCCTCATCAGACCTGGAAGAACAGGGAGAGGTCTGCGAGGGGGCTGCGTTGTGTCCTCACCCTGAGCCGCTACTGTGTCCCACCCACCCCTCCCCCTGCAGGCGCTGAGCCAGCCGGGGACTTTCAGACACACATCTCCACACGGTGGCACTCAAAGAGATCAAAATGCATTTAATGTGGTCTAGTCTCATGGCCTATGTCTTTAGATACTGCTATGTATTGAAAATAACATGACAATTCTCCAGTTTCATCATTTGAAATAGATATGACGTCTATTTGACCTCACACAAGGCAGACACCCCTGTGCAGGGGCCTCCTTCCCACCAGGCCCCCTGCCCCCGCCAGGACCCTCGGGTGGCAGGGGGAGCACAGCACCAGCAGGGGACGGGGGGCGGGGCGGGGAGGGGGCGCTGAGCTGAGAGACAGGCTCAGGCCTGCACACGGACATACCACCCCCGCGGACATGCGTGCGCACACACCCCCGGGACCCGCACAGGTTCCCACATGCACACATACGGCCCCTGCTGAGGGGGCCGGGCACAGCTGCTGCACAAATGCTCCACACACACACGTATGTGTTCACGTGACAGACACACACAGGCTTCCTACACGCAGTCTGTGTGCAAATGCTCATCTTTGGAAGCCATGTACACACATACACATGTAGCTATCACCTTGAACCCAGGTACACACAGCCCACACGGAAGCAGTCAGGCAGAGGCCTGGGAGGATCAGGAGGTGCAGCCAAGGCCCACGGCTGGTGTCCACCCTGAGTGTTGTGTGCCCAGCCTCACCGCCTGGTAAACATTCAAACCAACGCCCGCACCTACAACACGCACACACAGACAGACTCTGGGTGCATATGCACACAAACATGTGAGTGTGTGCACACACGTGTGTATCATGCCTAGGCACCATCAGCCCGTGTTCACACGCATGTGGAGATCATTGTGTGCACACATCTGCACACCACTCCCATGTACAATGGACGCACACGCTTGTGCACTTACAGGCAAAGCCAAAACTGGGCATGTTTCACCCGCACACAGACGAGACCAGGTCACACAGGAACCCTCGCCCTTGGTGCTCCCGCGGCCCCTCCCAGGGGAAGCAGCTCAGGGTCTCAGGGCAGAGGGTGTGCCCTGGCCAACTCCAGCCTCTGCACCACCAGGTCCAGGCTTCGAGAAACTTCCTGGGAATACCAGCCTGGGCAGGGGCAGGCTGGTACACATCATGTACGCACACGCACACGCACACGCACACGCACGGCACACGGCATGCCGCAAACTCCACACACAGGCACACGCCTGGGGACCACGTGACCCTCCCTCTGCACACACAGCTCCGCCCATCCGCCCTCCCGTTTCAAGGGCACTAAAGAGGGAGACTATTTTGGTCTTTAGCACAAGCAATAAATAAATAAATAAATAAATACAGGGGAGGGAAAAAGAGGGCAGAGGAGTTTGAAAACGCAGCATCTGCCTTTGGTGAGAAACGAAAGGCAGCTCAGGGCAGCTCTCCTGCAGGGTCTGCGGCCTGAGCCATCCGCACAGGCCTGGGAGGCAGTGCACCAGGCCACCCGAGATGGCCAGGGCCTCGGGGAAGCCAGGGCCCCTGGGCTCTGCCCAGGGTAGGGTGAGTGGAGGGCTGGCCCAGCAAGCCCACAGGCCGGCCCCCAGCACCCGGGCCGCCTCGCCCCTAGCCTGGCTTGGCCTGGCGGTCAGGGCGGCATTTGAGGGGGGAGGGGGTGAATGCTCCCATGTGGCTCCTGGTGGGAGCACTCATCCCCCAGGACGAAGGCTGAGAAAAGCTCAGGGCGGGAAGGGGCTGAGGGCCCTCGGGCAGGTCCTGAGAGGGGAGAGCTGCCTCCACCTGCCCTAGGCTGACCCTCCTGATGTGACCCGTGACCGGAAACAAGGTGGGGTCTGAGGCTTGGGCAGGGTGCCGGGACTCCGGGGCAGGGGAGGGGACTGCCAGCCCTGGCTTCCAGCTGCTGTGGGGGTAAGGAGGAGCGAGAGGCAGCAGCCCCTGCAGCCCCTCACCCCCCGGCTCGCTGTGCGACTTCACACTCTGCCGCAGTCTCCCCTCAAGCTGGGGTCCCTGCACCTTCTGGTCGCATGAGCCGTCCTGGAGCAGCCTGGGAAGGCGGCCTGGGGGGGTGGCCTGGGGAGGCGCAGGCTGCTAGTTACTGGCTTCCGGACGGGCCTGGTCACTTGAGATGATGATGTTCCTGGTAGTTCTGGGAAGGGCTCAGCCCCTGCCAGCAGCTTCCTTGCTAAGAATAAGCCTGCCTTGGGGGCTCTTGTGGCAGCAGAGCCAAAAGCAGGTGACAAATAAGGGGGCCCCAATCCTCCTCCTGACCAGGGTGCCTGGATGTGTGCCACCAAACCCCCAGTCGCTCACTGACAAGCCCAGGCCTTCACGAGGGCTGTTCCTCTGCATCCAGCCGCAGGGCTCAGCCTGGCTGGGCCCCAACGAGGATCACCTGGTGGAGTGGGGGCAGCGGGCAGGATGGGCGAGTCCCGTAACAACAGACATGGCTGGAGCCAGGCCACAGACCAGGGTCTCTAAGGCACAACTCATGCTGGGGCCGTGGGTGAGCGCATCCACTTCCCTGGAGTCAGGGAACCTGGCTTCCCTTCCCACGGAGCCACCCACCCCTGTATGTCCCACCGCCCCCCGTGGAACGGGTGGAGGCCTCTGGGCAGAAAGGAGAAGGAAGCGGAACAGGAGAATCCGGTGGGTTGGGGAGATCAGACCCTCCACAGCAGGCAGGTCCCACACTGGCCCCGAGACACACCTCTAAGGTACAAACTCAAACTCAGAAAACTCAAACTGGATTTTTCCTCGTCCTTACCCCACCCAGTGACGCTGGAGAGCTTCTGTCACAATCATTCACATGGTCTTCATTCTGCCATCACAAACGGAAGCCAGGGCAACCGAGAGCAGAAATAATGAGGTGAGCCCAGTGCTCACCCACGGGCCACACCGCTGCCTCCCCAGGGGAGGCCGTCCAGCCTCGGGGACCTTCTGGTAACTCCACCCAGCTGCTTGCATCCGAGCAGACTAATGGAATTCTAATTGCCCGCCCTCCCACCCACCCCACCCCAAATTATAAAAATTTGTTTCACTCACATGTTATTATTTTTTTTTTTGTAAACTGTCTTACTCAAACTAAGGTTGAGAAAGCCAAAACCGGTATGTCTCCCCAAGTTAAAAACCAATGAGGCGCCCTGCAGCCTGCCAGCCTTCGCCCACAGGGGCTGGGCGGCTGGCTAGCATTTCTGGGCAGGCTGCAGCTCCAACCTCAGGCAGGAGCCCCTGGCTTCTGTGGCCCGGCCCCCAGGAGGCCACCTTCCTGCCCCTCTGCCTGCTCCGGCCTCTGAAGCCGCTCCAGCCGCCCACTCTCCCACCAACCTCCTGAGGCCGTTGTGAAGAAACGTAAAACATCTACAACTCTACTGAGTCTGCAGCCGGGGCCCAAGCCGGCTCTGCTCAGGCCCGGGGCCCTCGCAGGACAGGGGCCTCTCCCCGGCGGGGCGGTGCTGCACCTTGGCCCTCGATGGCTCAGATTTCTGACTCCCGTCTGTAGGGCCGCTGCTCGAGGGTGGCGCCACCGGCCTGGGGCCGGTCAAAGTCATGCCTGGCCTGGGGGCTGTGTCTGCCCTGGTCTCCGTCCGCCTCGTCCTCCTCCTCGCGGCTCAGGAAGGCCAGCTCATTCTCGTAGCAGAAGGAGTTGGCACTGGGCAGCAGGAACTTGTTCTCCACCAGGTCCTTGGCGCTGCAGCGGGGCGTGGACGGTACCTCGTACGTCTTGTGGAAGTGCGAGTAGTCGATCTTGTACTGGTTCTTCTCCTCGAAGAGGACAGGCTCAAAGCGGTGGCCCCACAGGATCTCATTGGCCAGGTAGGAGCTGCGGGCCTGCGTGGTCATGGCCGTGGCCTCCACCATGCCCTCCAGGATGACCACGATCTCGAAGTCGTCCGTCTCCAGGTCCTGCCGGCTAATGCCGAACAGTGGGCTGGCCTCGTCGATCTCGTGCAGGATGGTGATGGGCGACACCAGGAAGATGCGGTCCAGGCCCTTGTCGAAGCCCACGTCGATGTCGATCTGGTCCAGCGGGATGTACTCACCCTCCTCCGTGACGCGGGGCTTGATGAGCTGCGCCCGCACGTGGGCCTCCACGATGTGGCTCTTGCGCAGGTTGCCCACGCGCCACATGAGGCAGAGCTTGCCGTCCCGCAGCGCCACCACCGCATTGTGGCTGAACAGCAGCGTCTGTGCCCGCTTCTTGGGCCGCGCCATCTTGGCCATGATGGCGCCGATCATGAAGGAGTCGATGATGCAGCCCACGATGGACTGCGCCACCACCATGAAGACGGCCAGCGGGCACTCCTCCGTTACGCAGCGCAGGCCGTAGCCGATGGTGGTCTGCGTCTCGATGGAGAACAGGAAGGCCGCCATGAAGCCGTGCACCTGCATCACGCAGGGCGTGCGGCCGCGGCCCTCCGCTGGCTCCAGGTCCCCGTGGGCCACAGCAATGACCCAGAAGATGACGCCGAACAGCAGCCAGGAGGCAAGGAAGGCCAGCGAGAAGATGAGCAGCATGTAGCGCCAGCGGATGTCCACGCAGGTGGTGAACATGTCGGCCAGGTAGCGCTGTGACTTCTCGTCCATGTTGGCAAACTCGATGTTGCACTGGCCGTTCTTCTTGACGAAGCGGTTCCGGCACCGGCGCCGCGTGTGCACCTTGCCGTTGCCAAAGCCATTGGCGCCCGACATGGTGACCAGGTGCAGCCCGTCCTCCTCCGACGACACAATGCTGTAGGGGTTGGCACGGCCGGCCGCAGTCATCCCGGGGGCAGGGGTACCCTGGCCTGCCCCCAGGCCAGCTCCGGGTGGGGCAGCTCCTGAAACAGAGAGGACGCAGGGCTGGCAGGGCAGCCACACCCGCCCGCGCCCCCACACCCACCCAGGGCCCTCGGCTGACCCCTTGACTCTGACTTACCTGCAGCCCAGATCCTGCTCTTCCCTCCCACCAAGCCGGCTCCTCACCCACCTCCTCGGCCAGGGAGAC